CCCCCCGAAGAGACGTCGCTTCTAGGCTATTGGTTTCTTCAATGGATTGGTGCTAAGCTTATGTTGGGATACCGAGGTTGGAATTCCTGGCATGTCTGCCGAAGTCTAAGCGAAGACATTGTTGTTAGCTCGGAGAAAAGCTATTAGCTCGAAGAAAAGCTATTAGCTCTACTCTTTCCTCCAGGCTCAATCGAGTTCCAATTTGCATCTTTCGACTTGGGTCTCTGTTGTCAATGGGCACTTCCTCGACATCCTCAACTGGAGCAGCTCTGGTTTCATCCTCTAGTCGGTTATCTACTATCTCAACACCCATTACTTGTTGATTTTCAGGAATTCGTTGGAGAATGGTTTCAGGCGTCTAATCTTTGTCTTTTTGAGGCCTTGTGACTAAGGTGATATAGCAATGTCTAGCCAACTCCTGGTTGCCCTGTAGTGTTGTTATCCCCATTGGGGTTGGGAACTTCATGTAGAGGTGAGATCGGGAAATCACAGCTAAGATTTCGGTCAATGTGGGTCGGCCAATAACAACATTGAAAGAGGACGCCATTTTGACAACTAGAAACCAAACTAAAGGGGTAACATAAGTTCGGCCACTCCCAAAAGCAACATTGAGAGTAAGAACTCCTTCTACTTGAACGAGTTAGTTGTTGAATCCATAGATGGGACCATCATACCGCTGCAACAAAGTTGGATCTAGCCCAAGACCCTCAAAACAATGAAAGTACATAATGTCTAGTGCACTCCCTGTGTCGACGAGGACACGTTGCACCTCACAGTTGTTAATCATGACAGAAGTGACCAGAGGATCATTATGAGGTGTGAAAAGTGCGTCGAAATCAGTAGATGTGAAAGTGATGGGTTGATTTTTCCAATCAACATCGTCAAACTTCCATTTCTGAGCTTGGTTTTGATGTTTGACCTCTCTAACGTATAACTTTCGCTGTTTAGAGCTCAAACCTCCTGCTTCTAGGCCTCCCGTAATCATATGTATAATTTTGGCTGATGGTGGGAGTGGAGGTGGGGCTTGTTGATATCCCACGCCTTGTTTGTTTCTTGCGTTACGAGATTCCTGTGGCTATGTCCCCTGTTCTCTAACAAACTTCGGTTGCTCGGTTTGCTGGATGTATTCATTCAACATGCCCTTCTAGGTTAGACTTTCCAATTCGTACCTCAAACTATTGCATTGCTCCGTTGTGTGACCATGATCTTGATGAAAATCACAGTATCTGGTATGATCTCGTGCAGCAGCAGAGCTTCTCATTGGTCCCGGTTGTCTCAAATCCATCTTATTCTTGATCTGCATGAATATCTATGACCTCGGCAGATTAAAAGGGGTCCATGTAACTGTTGCTTTAGTAGTAACCTGCTGGAGTGGTATCGAGTTCGGTTTTTCGAATCTCGGTGTGGAGGTCATCACTGAACCTTGGTTCTACACCGTCTTCATCCGTTTTTTGCTCTGACCCTCCTCTCTCCAATCAAGGTTTTGGTTCTTAGGAAGAACTGGTTTTTGTGATAAGGCATATTCTTCAACAATTATGAATTTCAACAATCTGTCATTAACCTCGTTGAAAGTAGCAGCAGGATGCTTGAGTAAGCTATCTTTGAATCTCTCGTGCTAGAGACCTTGAATGACAACCGCAATTCCCACAGCTTGGTCGAATGAGCTAACTTCAAGGATTGCATCGTTGAACCGGCTCATGTAATTCTTTAGAGATTCTCCTTCCCTCTACTTGACTCGCATTAGTTCAGAGGTAGTTTTCCTAATTAACCTTCTATTGGAAAACTTTGTGGCAAAAGCAGATGCCATTTCTGAATAAGAGCTAATAGATCTTGGGGGCAAACTATAGTACCAAGTTCGAGCATTACCACGGAGAGTGGAGGGAAAGATCTTACACATTAACGCATCAGAGGCGTTTTGAGCTTGCATACAGGAATAGAAGGCATGGAGGTGATCATCGGGGTCCTTTGTCCCGTCGTATGTCTCGAGCTGAGGAATTTTAAAGCTAGCATGATAAGGTTCCAATGTGATGTTGGTGTTCAAAGGGTGGGGTATGGAGTCAGTATTGTGGTGTGGAGGTGGAGCACCTCACTGTTCAGCTACCAGTTTTTCTAAGCTGTCCAAACGTTGAGTAACATCATTAGGTAGAGGTTGTTGAGCTGGGGCTATATGAGACTGGCCCTGAGACTCACTGAGAGCGGGAGCACGCTAAACTGGTTGAGGGTCTTGCTGTGGAGCCGGAGGTTGTGGAGCAGGGTTAAGTAAATTGATGAGGGGATCACCAGAATTATTCCAAGCTAAGAGCTGAGCCAATACTAACTGAAAGACACCAAACTGTTGTTGCATGGCAGCAAGCTAAGCTGTAACTACGTCTTGGTTGGTGGTGGAAGTTGAGTTGTGAACGGAGTTGTGAGGTTGGTTTTCCTCTCCTCTTTCTGCATGATCAACAAGAGGGAACATATTTGGGATCTGAGGTGAGAGGTGAGGTGGAAGGTTGTTGGGTACTTGACCTTGTCCAAAAGGCTGAGATGGATTTTCAACTCGGACTGATCGAGTGTTAACCATGATGAGAGAGCAACAAGAGAGCTTTCAGTTCGGATTCCCACAAACGGCGCCAATGTAATTGCACCAAACCAGAAGTCCTTCTTCAGTCCGCGTCTTCACTTCGGATGAACCTGCAAAGCCCCGAGGTGGGTCCTCGGGATAGACACTCCAATACTTAAGTTAGCAATAATCGGATCTACCTTTTAGAATAATTAAAGAGAAGCTTTAGGTCGGTTTCAATTACCTTTCTGAGGTGGCCCCTAAGGGGTATTTATAGGCCTTTGTGAGGTATCCATGTGGCTTGCTTAGTAGGATAATCGGAGTGTGACGTGTCCCTTGAGAAGGTAAATTCGGGACCAAGAAATTGTATGATAGATCAGGTGCAGACATGTCCATTGTATTTACCATGTAGCCATTTGACCGGAAGTGTTGGAATTAATCTCATTTCGGCTATTAAGAAATTGTTACAGTACATCCGAGATTAAGGATCTCGGACCTATCCTTACAGATATTTTTCCACCACCACAATAAGGATCAAAGTTTGGAGATTACTAGACCATTGTTAATACACTATCAATTCTTACAAATTAATTTTCTTCCATAAACGGAGAAACAAAATTCATAGCAGTAGATGCTAAAAATTTGTTAAATTTTAAATATATTTACCTCAAAAAATTTGTAGAAATTGAGGTAGTAAATCTTTAAAGATATATTTTCTCTTTAATTAAATTACATTTATTAATGAAATGACTAAACTATCCTTAAAGTGAAGGGTGTTTAAGGTCATGTGGCAAGACTCCTTTGGTTATAAATAGGCCATTCATCTTATAAAAAGGGAGAGGAGAAGGTGAAGAAAAAAGGAGAAGGAGAAGAGTAGAAGCTTTAAATCCCTTGCTAATTCTTAAAGTTTCAAGTTCTACCTAAGGGAAGTTTCAACTTCCTATCAAGGGTAAGTTTCAAATCCCTATTTTAGAGGAAAAGTTTTAAAGACAAATCTCAAATTCTTTAAATGACAAAATCAAGCTGAGACTTTTGCCTTTTTAAATCTAATTATCAATTGGGCGATACTATAGGAACAACCTTTTTATACCACTTTTGATACAACTTCCAAAAGCATTAAATAAGCGGATGCATTTAATATCACGGATTTTACATGAATTAAAATAATCTATCATTTAAATGACATGTCAGGTTATACAAAAAAATAATACAGAATAGTTGTCCCAAAATCATTTCCCTTATCAATTTGAAGATTATATTGCTCCAAAACGTGCCACCACTTAAAGTTCAAACATGTGTATAGCAACACTACAAATCAAAAGTGGTTTTCCATTTCTTTCAAATTCATTTATATTTACTATTTGCAAATCAATATACATTATTTGATCTTATAGGATTTTGTAACTACAATAGCATTCCAATTATCAAACAGAATTACAACCTTAACACAAAAAAAAAAAAAAAAGGGAAGCAATGATCATGAAAAATCCTCAACTAGGAATAGAATTATGTCCTAACAGCTAACACTGTAAATATGTAACTAGCCTTGTTGTTTATTACGTCTTCTACAGTTTCAGTCGACAAAAACAAAGTTTAAAAAGCCAGTACTTGCATAATTTTCCTAGACCCATTTCTCAGGAAACGAGCAGAAGATAAAATCGCATGACTAGGATGTTTAAAAACCTATCTTTTTTTTTTTTTTTTAGTTGCACAATAGAAGCAGTCATTTTTTTTAATTTTTATCTCATTTTACCAGTATATCACCTGATTCAAACTTAAAATTTTTTATTTTTAAAGAGCGAAAACGATTACTAAATTAATTATTTAAGTCGTTTATAAAAAATAAAAAACCTTTTGTATCAGAAACTTCAGCGAGGCATCCAAGATTATTGAGAGGAGATTTCTGATACGATACAGGAAGGATTAGGGCAGATCAAGATGAAATGATATAAGTCACCGTTGGATCGGAAAATGGATGGTCAGGAAAACGCCACTGAGATTGTCTTGTGCGTACGCGCTCGCACCCAAATGAATACTTTTATATACTCGGATATGTGAACGGGTGGGTTAGGCTAAACGGGTCGGGTTTCTTGATTCATAAGTGCAACTGGAATTTTCGAAAAAATAATAATAATGGGGTTTGCCTGGACAGCTCAATTAATTAGGGTATTTATAATTAATTATATATAAATATTTATATTTAATTTTTTATATTTTATAAATTTTAATTTTAACTAAGATTTAAGTTAAGGGATAACTAATTGACATAAAAAGGATGAGTTTTTATTTTGAATTAATTAATTAATTACAATTATTTATGTATTAAAAATATTAAAATAAATATTAATTTTTATAATTTTTTATATAAATTAATTATAAAAATTTATTTATTATATCTTTAACTTGTATTTTTAGTGTATAAGTTAAATAAATTTTTTTAAATATTATATTTTAATTTAATTGAATGTGATATAAAAATTTATGTAAAATTAATTAGAAATATTACAATTAATAATAATATTTAAAGACATAAATGAAAATAATAATAATATTTTTTAATTTTTTATTATAATTTATTTTAAAAAAATATAAAAACATATTTTTTAATTTATTAATTATTTAATTAAATTTATTTATTTAATTCAACTCTAAAATTAATATCAACTAAAAAAAAAAAAAACCTTAAGAAAAACCCTAATAATTGTAATAATCAATTTCTGCTGACAGGTGCCTTGATTTTTATTGGCGAGAGTGGCACCGGTGCTTCCCACCGAAGACGACTGCTTACTTCTTTCAGCCCAATTTTTTTCCGCCGTGTAGTTTCAGTATCAGGCGCTGAAAGTTCTCTCTTTCGAACTGAATATTATCCCCCGTGGCCGTGGATTCGGGGTTCTATCCGCAATCAAGTGAGTGTTTTTAACTTCTCAGCGCTTCCATTTCTGAGTTTCAATACGCTTAATTGGGCCATTTTTGGCTGATAGCATTTCGTTTCTTAATTGGTTTGATCATTTCATCTGCGATTGGTATATGGTTTCATGCTTTTGAGCTATGTCCGTATCTGTCTCAACCCAGTTGAGGGAAGTTATGATCTTTGAATTAAGATATTTGGGTTTGCATATCAGGTGTTTTAATTATTGCGGGACTGAAAGCAACCGTAAACACTCTTGGAAAATGAAACTAATTTTTCACTGGTTAGATGATGCCCCTTTGGGAATAAATATAATTTTGGGTCGTTTTAGTTCAATGAAATTCATTCTTGGTTTATGGATAGGAAATTGTGTTTGAGTTATGTTGAATTCAATTTTGAGTAAGCATTAATTTTCAGTCTCTATTTAAGAAGTCAAGTTGAAAAGTTGGTTTTTTATTGTAGTGGTTATATAATCCTCAATATAGTTATTGGTTTAATGTGCTGACAAACAACAGTTTCTAAAAAGTGAGGAGAAGAATTATCTATTATTCATGCACTTGATAATTATTTATTCCCATGACATCCAGTCACATTATCCTTCCATTTTCCTATTTGCCGTATGCTAAGAAAATAGACCAGAAGCTTAAGTATTTCCATCTCTTTTGGTCCAGTTAATATTTACTTAAGGTTTTCACTTTTTCCTTTGCAGTGGATGGATGCCATTCTTTTGGTGAGGATAGGGAAATGATAGAGAGTTCTAGTGAGAAGTTAGATGCACCTGAAGGAATTTTGGATGTTGAACCATACCTAGGGATGGAGTTTGAATCTGAAGAGGCTGCCAAGGTTTTTTATGATGCCTATGCTACTCGTTTGGGATTCATTATGCGTGTAGATGCATTTCGCAGGTCTATGCGTGATGGGAAGGTTGTCTGGCGTCGACTTGTGTGTAATAAAGAAGGTTTCCGAAAATTGAGGCCTCGTAGAAGTGAAAGTAGAAAGCCTAGAGCAATCACTAGAGAAGGGTGCAAAGCGATGATGGTGGTAAAGAAAGAAAAATCAGGAAAATGGGTTGTAACAAGATTTGATAAGGAGCATAATCATCCATTGGTGCCTATACCTTCAAATGGTCATCGAAGCATGCTTCTCTCTCAAACACCAGTAAGTGCTCTTGGAAACCACTAGGGGTGGACAACAGTTATTAGCTTCTCATGCAAATAAAACTCATGAAAAATCTCTGAAATTCATGAAGTTATCATTTCTATCACATGGTGTATTAGTTAAGAGTTAAGATATTGAATTGGTATTGGTGTTACTGTGCATGTCACTGTTTACGTTTCTTTATGTGTTTAAATAGTTTCATTTTTTGAGTCACTTGAAGTTTTACTTCTTTTTAATCCTACAATAAAATAAGGGAATCAAGTTTTATGAGTGAAGCTTTTGGATACTTTTGTATTACAAAGATTGCTTTAAAAAAAGAATTGTGGTTTTTATTATTGTCTCATGCATTACATGCTTTGGTAAAGCATCATGCTGTATAGATTATATTTCTCCCTTACTAACTGCAGTTCAATCAGCTTGCATGACAGATTTATGGTAACTTTCATGGTTTTGGAATTTGGACTAATGAAGTCAAGTTATCTAGTTCCACTTATACTGTCTACCATTCTGAGAAAGAGCCAGCTTTTCCATTGCCATAATGAGTACCTGGCAGGGCCTTGACAATGTAAATCATAATCTTATGTAGAACGTTTTCACCTCTTGATCATCTGGGATTTATGATGAACATTTGATAAAATAGTAGGCCATAAAAAGGCTGGAAAGCAGCCCTTTGAGAGCAAGACTGGAGAGTAAATTAATGCTTCAAAGAAACTGATGAAACTGTAGAACATGAATAATGTTCGACGAGATATGCTAATTGTCTAACTTTTATAGTAGTAATATGTCAGACATGTGCCAGAAAAGTTTATAAGAGATAATGGACCATGATGTCATTTTGTATATATCAGTCTTAATAGGGTAAACTATTCTGATTCTTGTTTGAACACTATTCTTTTTATGACTTCTAGAGTTTATTCTTAAATTTTGATACTTAATTTCAACTTGAATTCATTCTGAAAATATTTGGTTGTTAATTCTTAGGATGCTAGCTCTGGCTGGTGAGATTCATTAATGGTGAACAGTGTAAAGGATATTGAATCATAATTAATTGTCCCACCTGGTTTTTCCTCTCATCTCTCAGGTGTCATAGATCATAATGAGATCGCAGTTGGTATTATTGTTCATCCCAACTCTGTTATTAGAGAATAAGATTTGTAAAGTTGAAGATAAGTTCCCCAGCCCTCTCTCCATCCTTCCAAACCCTGTTTTATTCTAGCTTTCTTTTGTCAAGCAGCAACCAGGATGAAGATTTTAATGTTGAATATCATGCTCGTGACTTTTATACGCTTGTGATTGAATTACCACTATTTGTATTTGGTCATTATAAGCAAAACTGATTTTGCTGAACAGTATGAATTTTATGGGACCTTGAACTGGAAATGCACCATTTATGTATCTGGTCATTCCTATATTTGTAATTAGTATGTAAAAAACCATATCTCTTTCAACCGTAGCCTTTTCTTCATATTCCAGAGATGTCCATGGAAATCGACAGATAAAATCCTGTTTGCTTTTTAGCCAAATAAAATCCTGATTGTTTCTGTGCCATTTTTACAATGCCTGTGACTAGTAAATCACTTAATTGCCCATGTATGTGTCGTGTTTTTTGTGCACGTTAATTTTCACGGACTAGCTTAAATCTAAAACCAGAGAATGATACATGATTTTCTTGTGTGTGTTATTTTTCAGGATGAGAAAGATGTAAAGATTCGAGAACTAAGTGCTGAATTACAGAGAGAGAGAAAGCGATCCGCTGCTTTGCAGGAGCAACTAAATATGGTTTTAAGAGATATGGAGGAACATTCCAACCACCTATCGAGGAACATCGATGACATAATTCAAAGTGTACGAGAGATTGAGTCAAAGCAGGTAGAACTTCACGGAGCTAAGTCGTAGGTTTAGAAATTTGTTCCTTACACTTTGGCATGTATATTTTTTAGCAAGCTATTTTTTTTTGGTTTCCAGTTTGTGGTAGTAATTTAGAATTTATATACCCTTTTTTTTTTTACTAGTCGTTCTTCCTTTTATGGGAGGGAGATGGGTGTTGAGCTTTAGCCTTTAGGTTTATTAGTTGAATTGCACTTTGCATGAATAAGAAGGGTCGAATGTTAGATGAATTTTCCTTATAATTTTCGCTTTTCTTCTGGACTTAATTGTTTTGTAATGCTACTACAGTATCAGAGCCCAATATATGTATTAGCAACAATTATACATGTATATAACATTAGTGGCTGAGTCAGAAAACATTTTGAGGCGGCAAAATAAAATTTCAACAAAAAAATGATGACTCTATGTGTCAATTTAAAAAGTCAATAAATAAATAAATAAATAACATTTGTTAGTCTTTTAAGGATAAACTAATAGTAGTTGACAAAATAATATAAACACCTTTAATTGAAAAATAAAAATAAACATATGCTAAATAGAAGAATATTGTATACTGTTGTTTCTTAAAAAATCTTTAATTGGCTCCCACCATGTGAGTTTAGATATAGGGTGTGTCATTCGTTTTCTCAAAAAATGAGAAAAAGGGATTTCCTTGATGAGTCTTTCTTTTCAAGCAGTCCATCTCCAAATAGGATGGCTAAAAGAACATGCATTTGTGAATTGCACTGCAACTCAAATGATATTGCAAAACGAAGGATTTCATTCTGTAAAATGAGTTACTAATTGTATTAAATAACTCCAAGGACTTTAAAATCACAAATATACACATGAGGCTGCTAAACTCCTATTTTCTTGATTTTCACAATTTATCTTTTGAAAATTTTATTATTTTGAATTTTAAATGGTCATCAACTATATTTTTTATGGATATGATGCATAAAGTATTCAAACAGTATCTAGATCAGTAAGTAGCATTCTTCATTGATGACATCTCAATATACTCTCTTAACTAGGAACAACATAAGGAGGATTTGAGATTAGTACTTGGTATTTTGAGAGATTAGCAACTGTATGCAAAATTAAAAGAGATTAGCTTTCCTTGGACATGTTATCTCCAAAGAATGTGTTTCTGTGGATCCGAAGAAGATTAAGGTAATAGTGGAGTGGAAGAGGCCAAATACTGTGGTAGAGATTTAGAATTTCCTGAGATGGGTTGGTTACTATGGTGGTTTGTAAATGATTTTTCTTATATAGCTTTTATTATCACTCAATTAACTAAGAAGGACACCTGATTTGTTTGGATTGATGAGTGTGAGCAAAGTTTCCAAGAACTGAAGAATAAACTAATTTTTGCACCTATTATGATATTACCTAGCTACTAGTGGTCAGAGATTTACGGGATATAGTGATGCTTCTAAGAGGGGACTTAATTATGTTTTGATGTAGAATAGTAAGTGATTGCTTGTGCATCCAGGCAATTAAAGCCATATGAGGAGAATTACCTTATCCATGATTTGTACCAGCTGTGTGTTTGCCTTGAAGATTTGGAGACATTGTCTATATAGGGAGCCATGTGAGATATTCACAAACCATAAGAGCTTGAAGTCTATTTCACTTAAAATGAGCTTAACATGAGATAGAGACAATGGTAAGAATTGCTTAAGGATTATAATATGACCATTAGCTACCATGCTGAGAAAGCTAATAGAGTTATAGATGCCTTAGGTAAGAAGTCTTCTAGTACTGTTTTTAGTTTGCTTGTCATTTAGAGAGAATTTTGCAAGATCTAGCTAGGATGGATTTTAGATTAATTTTCAAGGATACTAGAGCTTATTTGGCTAGTGTGCCCAGCCTGCTTTGATTAATAAAATTAAAGCTGGACAGGTAAACAATCCATTTCTATAGAAGTTGAGTAAGGCTAAGGTCCACAATCCACAAATGTGATCTTTCAAGATTTTTTATTATGGTTTTTGTGTTTGAGGATAGGATTTGTGTACCTTAAGATCAAGATCTGAAGAGGGTGATTCTTGAGGATGCCCCTTACATTGGTTATACAGTTCATCATAGTAGTATTAAGATGCACAAAGAGTTGAGAGTTATCTTCTAGTGGAGGAACATGGAGAGAGAAATTGCTAGATTTGTAAGCATGTTGACTTGTTAGCACATTAAGGCTGAACATTAGATGACACTTAGCATATTACAACCATGTTCAGTTTCTAAGTGGAAGTAAGAGCACATCACCATGGATTTCATGATTGGGTTACCCAGGATTCCTAAAGGCCATGATTCTACATGGGTGGTCATTGACAAATTGGCCAAATTTGCTCATTTTCTAGCATTTTGTGTTGGGACCCGTTTGGCAACTCTTGTAGAGATTTTTGTTGGTCAGATTGTTATATTGCATGCAACTCCACTATTCATCATCTTCGAAAGGAATACCAAAATTGTTTTCGTCACGCCTCAAAACCTAAATTCGAGGGCGAAACAAACACCGTACACTTATGAGAGTATCTCACAAATGCACAAGGCTCGGAATTTTCTAAATTCATAACTAACAATTCACATAAACTCAAATCAATATCTCAAAATCTATGTCGGAAATACAAATGGCTAGCGGCCTAACTCCAAAATACTAGTGGGTGGCCTTTTAACTTGTCACTCCCCTTGGTTTCCCATATTTCAGGTCACGCTACCTGAAATGGTGGACAAAGAAAAACTATGTAAGATAACTCAGTAAGTTAAAATATGGATAACCTCATTGAAATTTTAAAGCATGCCAAGTAAACATTTTAAATATAAACTAGAAGAAATATCTTAGTGATAAACCATTAATGCAAAATAAAATTCAGTAGTGGTCTCCTCAATTAGTCATGGCCAGTGTATTCTCCCAACTGGCTGGATAACAAAAATATTATTGTACTCTCCCATTGGCTGGATAGCAAAAAATGCCAATGTACTCTCCCACTAGCTAGATGAACCAACTCTACAGAAATACATGTCGACATGTGCCAATATTTAACTCCCATTAGCAGAATAACAAAATTTGTGACCATATTGGAGACAAAACCATGTGGGAGTTAACAATAAAATTCAAAATTCACAAACCAATTTCAAATTTCCAAAACAAACAAAAAACTCCATGTAGGCATGCTCAGTTTAATAAAAATAATAACAACTTTCATTTCGAATCAATCATGCTCAAGTGATAATAAAAGCGGGTTAATCTCGTCACCACCTCAAAACAGTTTAAAAGTATGCTTTTAAAAGCCTTTACTTTAAAATCCAAGGGCATTCGCCATAATTTGTACTTACCTCGCATTGTAAGTATACAACAAGCAAGCAATTCAAGAAGTCAAGGTGCTTGAGGTGATTTAGAACTTATATCATATCAAATAAATACTTAGAATATGCTTAAAATAGCTTCAAAAAGACACACAAACAATAGGTATCCCAAATAGATTTTCTAGATAAAATAAGGTGGACAAATGGTGAGAAATTGAGCTTTTTAGCTATCCTAAACACAGCAGATATATTGGGCAGCAAAGTGGGGGTTTTTGCCATTTAAATCAGTCCCCAAATACTTGGAATAAGCCCTAAACAATAAGGATTTTTGGGCAAAAAGACAGCAACAAAACAGGGTAGAACACAAGCTATAACTGTGCAAATATGGACAATATTTAAGCAGCAAAAAGGGCAGCCAAAGTAAAGCAATAACAAAGGGTTTTCCAGCAGGAAAACAGTAGCTAAAAATCTACTAAAACCATGATGCAACGTAGCAGTAGATAGAGTGGAAATGAAACAAAAAACAGAGGAAATTTCTAGCAAGTTTTGGTCAAATTTCATGCTGGAATTTCCAATAGAATTCATGCCTAGAAATGGACTAATCTGGGTTGAGTGGTCAACTGATAAATTGTAACCCTATTTCTTAATGTTCTACAGCCTTAAGAATTACCTTAATCCGACATCTATAGAGAGAGTTATGGCTAAAAAACCAACACAGGGTCGGGCTGCTAGTTAAATCAACCTACAAGAATTGGATTTGCAATAGATTGTCCACCAAGAAAACAATTGAACTGGGTTAAACGTCCAACATAAAAGTTGTAGGGCTATCTCTTAGCTTTCTATAGAATTAAAAATGGACTTAATCCAATAACTATAGAAAGACTTATGGGCAAATTATTACAAAATGGTCATGTAGACCGAATTTGCAGCAAAAAGAGGGATCAAAGCTAATGATGCTAGATTATGGGCAAAATCAAAGGGGAAACTACATAAACACTCCCAAAATTGCAAACCCTAAATGATTAGAGTTAATCCACTTTAAATCAAGGATGAAAATATGAGAAATATGGCTGATTTCTTAACGAAAATGCTAGAAAGAAGCTAACCTCCTACACTGCTTAAGAACCCAACATGGACCAGAAAATTTGGGAAATATCAACAGTTAGAACTGGTTTTGAATCATCATTTTAAGAATCATGAGCTCATAAATCACTAAATCAAACTTGGGAGGAAGGAGAAGAACTAAATCTCACCTTGTTTTTCTAGCAAGAATGTGTTGGGCGTAGGAAAGGGTTTGGGGAGGCAAGTTTCGAGTGAGGGCTAGGGAAGACAACACAGAAATGGGCTGGGAAAAAAAGAAAACAACCTCAGCCCCTTTTAAATACCAAATTTCACTTTTAACCCCCCTTAGGTTTATGAATTTTAGCTATTAGGCCCAAAAATAATAATTTCTATCACAAAAACCCTCTTAAATTCTAAGGCCTTAGAAAATTTTGGGATATTACAATTTCACTTTTGGGATAGCTTACAAGCAGCTTTGGGTACTAAGCTGAGTATCAATACTACTTTTCACCCTTAAATAGATGGGTAGTCTAAGAGGAATATTTAAATCCAAGAGGATATGTTGAAAGCCTGCATCTTGGATAGAGGAGGTCTATGGTAACATCATCTACCACTAGCTAAATATGCTTATAATAACAATTGTTAAACAAGTATCAAGATGGCACTATTTAAGGCATTGTATGGTAGGAGATGCAAATCATGTGTAACGTCTCCAATTCCACATCGATGGAGAATTGTGAGTGTAATTCATATATAATTATGATGACCAACCACTGCTAACAACTTGAGTTTAAGCTTTTTGAGGGCTCACAGACCTAAGCTCGAAGTTGTTAAGCTAGTAGCAAGCTTCAACCTCAATGGGAAATTGTGAGTGTGATTAATATATAATTTGTTTGTTGGATGGAGGTTGGAGATAGGACCATTTTGGCTCTAAAGTTGGTGCAACAATCTAGCATGTAAAAGAGTACATAAATA